TTTGTATTTTATTTTAGTTTATCTATAGGTAAACATTTATATATAGTATATTTATAGTCAAAATCTGTCAGTAGGTTAGCTGTGAAATAGGTTTATACTATTTTACTTCATTGTTGTATGTCTGTATTTATGTAGCACCGTGGTCCTGTGAGGCACAACATTTCGTTCCATTGTATGTCCCCACATGTAGCGGAATGACAATAAAGCTCAACTTGAACTTGGATGTAAAATTGTCTTTAGCAGTGAGTGGACACTCTACAATGTGTCCACCCACCCTACAATGATGAAAATCCATTCACTCATTTTTTTTTAATCCCCCAAAATCCTAAACAGAAAATCAAAACGACTTGATAGTTGAGACTGAGCAAGATGACGTCATACTGTCATACGTCATGACGCCCATGACCGCTGACCCGACTGTCCAGAATTTACGTCCTCAGCCAGCTGTATGCTGTCCGCTGTTTTGGGATGAGCAGTAGCTCAATAGCATTTAAAGAGACATGCACCGAAACGGGTCTCTGTGTACAGAACTGTTTTTGATAAAGGTCGTGTAAAACAACACCCTTTTTTCCTTAAGGAATTTTAATCAAAGTATTCTGCAGACATTTCATGAAGACCCTAAAGAATCATACCAACTTGTGGAAAATGGGCATCCAGTGTGTCCCCTTTAATCAGAAACATCAATAACTTAAGTGCATTCCCAAACTCTGGTAAACTGATAATATAACCGAAAACTTGTTTCAACAGACTGTTTGACAACTGGGTTAAATTAAACGATAATTTAAATTATTTCAAAATAATTACTGTTCAAATATTTTTTTTCTTTAAAATGTTTTCTAGGTGTATGTAGTGAAGTGAGCAGGTTGTTCACCCCATACACACATTCACCTGTGGGTATATAGAAGAGGTCATGTTTAGTTAAATAAAGCACATTTCAAAACAACAGAAGTTGCAACCAAAGTGCTGTACAGAGGTAGTAAAACTAAATTAAAACAATTAACACTGGATCAAAACCTTGGGAGACAAATGTAAAAATATAAACACCCTCATTTAAAACATAAAGAATACAGATACGGGAATATTTAAAATATATTATATAATTGTAAATAATATTTTAGGGAATATTTAAAAATAGAAACAGAAGAGGAAGGTCTAATATTGAGAGGGAGACTGTTCCAGAGTCTGGGAGCAGCCACCGAGAAAGCCCCGGTCACCTTTAGTTTTGTAATGTGAGCGAGGAACAGAAAGAAGAAGATGATTGAAAGAACGTAAGGATCTTGAGGCATTGTACGGGACAAGAAGATCACTGATATACTGAGGGGCAAGTCCATGAAAAGCTTTATAAACAAAAAGCTAAATTTTTAAATCAATCCGGGACTTAACCGGTAACCAGTGGAGAGAGGCAAGCAGAGTAATGTGCTGACACTTTTTAGTGCCAGTCAATAGCCTGGCTGCTGTGTTTTGAACCAACTGCAAACGAATTAGGCAAACCCAGGTAATAAAGAGTTACATTAATCCAACTTTGAGGTGATAAATGCATGAATAACAGTTTCAAAGTCTTTCTTAGAGAGCATCATCTTGATTTTGGCAAAAGATCTTAGCCGAAAGAAACTTTTTAACAATAGCACTAATCTGCTTATTGAAACTAAAATTGGAATCAAAAATGACTCCAAGATTTTTGACACCGTCATGAACATTTGAAGATAGAGAACCAAGCTGATCAACTATGTCAGAGGTCAAATCTGGTGGTGCAAAGATAGCAATTTTAACTTATTTTTGATAGGAAAGTAAAGCTGAGTGTCATCTGCACTGAAGTGGTCTGATAAATTGTGTCTCTGAATTATTTGACCACGTGGAAGTAAATATAGTGCAAAAAGAAGAGGACCCAGAATAGAGCTCTGGGGTACACCATAATGTATTGGAACACAGGAAGAAAAACAATTCCCTACTTTAACAGAAAACTTTCTCCCTTTGAGGTAAGAGGCAAACCACTCCATCACAGGGCCGCGAAGCCCAGCTACATGTTCTAATCTATGTAAAAGGGTATCGTGATCTACAGTGTCAAATGCTGTACTTAAATCAAGCAAGACTAAAATGCATCCAGAGTGAGTAAGATGTCATTTAAAACCTTCAACAAAGCAGATTCAGTACTATTTAGCGCGCTGAAACAAGACTGAAATTTGTCAAAAATACTAAAAGCACTCAGGTCTGAAGAGATCTGATAGTAAACAACTTTCTCTAGAACTTTGGAAATAAAAGACAGTTTTGAAATGGGTCTGTAGTTATTCAAGTCATGCTGATCTAAAAGTATTTTTTTAACAACGGCTGCACCGCATGTCTGAAGTTAGTAGGTACCACCCCATTCACCAATGAACTATTAACAATGGCAGTCACAACTGGACTTAGAACTGAAAAAAACTCTTTAAAAATATGTGAAGGCAAAACATCACAAGGGCAAACAGAGGATTTCATACTAGAAACAATATGATGAAGCTCTGAGGGCAACACAGGTTGAAAAAGTGAGAGCGCACTGTCACAGGGGGGCATTTCTAGGGATGAAAACCTCTAAAATGGAATATTAGAGCGAATACCCTCAATTTTATAGATACAATTTGTTAAAAACTGATCACACAGGTCAGTAGAAACCTCAGGTAGAACACTAGAAGAGGGATTTATAAGGGGGTTAATTGTGCTAAAAAGAACCTTAGAATTTTGTGCAATTAAATCAGACATTTATTTAAACTGTGCCTCCCTAACAGCATTCTGATACTGCTCAAGACACTCCCTGAACATTTTGTACGATATATAAAGTGTGTCTTTCCTCACCCTGCGTTCAGCACGCCTGCACTCTTGTCTGACCGCGTGAGTGGGCCCATTTAACCAGGGCTGCACTTTTTTCACCACTGGATTTTTGTAACCTCAGAGAAGCAATTAAGTCTAATGTAGCAGTGCAGGTACTGTCAAAAAGGGCAACCAGATCATCAGGATGAACACAGTAGGAAAGAGTTTCACCAAGATTAGGGGCTTGAGAAGATAAATAGACATAAATGAAAGACCTAGCAGTAGAAGAATCAAAACGTCTAGATCAGGGGTGTCAAACTCAGTTCCTGGAGGGCCGGAGCCCTGCAGAGTTTAGATGCAACCCTAATTAAACACACCTGATCCAGCTCATCATGTCATTTAGGCTTATTTGAAAACGACATGGTGTGTGTGTGTTGGAGTAGGGTTGGAACTAAACTCTGCAGGGCTGCGTGCCCTCCTGGAACGTGAATGGTGAACATGTTGAAAAATATTCCAAAGGTTTTAGGTTACAGAAGTTAGCTGCAGTTCCAGTGCTAGAACTAGCACGAGAGGAAGACCAAAAAGAGGGTATGAAGTTGTCAACAGAAGTGTGAGAAAAACTGACAGTTCGACGTGAGCCTTGATGAACATAGCATGGACGACAAGCAATCCCCAACGCAACACAAGATTTGGAAATTCCTGCTTGTAAAGGTTATGACAGTTTCAAATGATGAAGCTCCTCAGATGAGTAGCACAGAGCCATTGTAGAAAATATATAATGACGGTAAAAGGTACAAGTTAGACTGAAATGCCGTGCACCATAAAAAAAACGGCAAACAGGGAAAAAACATTCAGCCAAAAACAGTGCGTCATTCCTTCTGCCCCGTCTCCCACATGACCATGTTAAAGATCACGTTAGCCTGAGCACCTAAAACAAAAAAACACCCAGAAAAACGATTGGGTAGGAAGGGAGCAAACTAGAAAGAAATGCCCCAGACATTTTAAAACCCAAAAGATAAAGGCAAGTAACAGACCAGCAAGAAAGTGGAGACTTACTCAAGGGTAAAATCCAGGGCGGTAAAACGAGCTAAAACAAAAATATAAAATGGGGATCCCCGGACGAGGACTGTTTCCTGTGAGAGTCTGTTTCTATAAAGTGGTGCAGTTCCAACTTTGCAAGCACAGCCTGGCGCTTCTGACTCACATTTTCATTTTCACACAACGCGTAAAAAGACAGTATAAGTCATTATAATCAGTAATTATGTCCCCACTGGATGCAACAAATGCCTCGTTTATATGGGTTTTACTGTTTTTGTCTTGTCGCGCTGGAACATACGGCATCACAATATGGTAAGTAGGGGTGTGAACCTACACTGGTCTCACGGTTCGGTTACGTTACGATTATCATGTCATCGATTCGGTTCAATTCGATATCACAATGCATTGACGATGCACTGCATCCTCAATTTTCAATTTTACTTCACATTTATACAATTTTATCAATAAATACAAGCAGTCAGATATATGAAGAATACAAATTATTTCAGAAAAATGCAATATTTGTCATGCAATTAATGTGTACATTCTTCTATTACATCATATTGATATTTGTATTGGTATTAAATTGCACAGTTTAATGGGTAAATTAATTTATCAGAGACAGAAATTCAACAAACGCACTCTGTTAAGCTTTTATTTGTGCACGTAACTTGAATCGATCTGTGGAATATGTGGTAGATGCCTCGTTCTAACACGCTTCAGAAAGGCGGAGCATAGAGGAGAAACAATAATGTACAGTATGTGGAAAATAATGTGTTTTTTTTTTTACTTTAAACCACATAAACACATTGCATTACACCAAATAATGTTCTTTTTAGCAACGTCATATGACCCTTGTAATATCCAAATTATAGTGAAACCACTATTAGAACAGTTACAAGATCGGCAGTTTAAAACATGAACTTGAAAGCACAAATCACAAGATAATTTTTTTAAATATAAACAAGACTACTGAACAACTCTAATAGATGTTAACTAATCTAACACATAAACACACACTCACACATTCCCCCAAGTTGCAGAAAGAAAATGAGGAAAGAATGAGCTTTAAGAGTAAGAAATCCCAAGTTTCTAGCGATGTATGCAATTTTCGTAGACCTAAACAACCATCCATCATTAATTTAACCCTCACATTGAGTTTTCAATGAGGCTATGGGTGGAAGTGGAGTCCTGCAGGCTGGTCAAAGTTTGAGGCGGGCAAAGACAAAGTAAGAGACACGGATTCCAGTCATGCAAGGAAGGAAAAGGTCAAAGGTAGTCTGGCTTTAGCTCTTTATCTAGACTGAGGGAAATCCCACTTTTGCCTTATAATTTTCCCTGTGAGATTCAGAATGCGTGTCTCCACACCCATTTATCTTGGGTTAACTGCATAAAGTTGACAACGCTGGAGGAGTTCTTTTAGGAGTTAGTTTATTCAGTCGTCCATAGAGGAGTAACTAGTTAGCTCAGGCTTTGTGGTGCCAACTGACAGGTCTCAGTTTTATGGTCGCCCAGTGTGAGACTCAGGGCCTTTTTGGTTGTTTTGGTTCTTTGCGCTGTTTTGACACAATTCTGATTAAGTCTTCAGTGTCTGATTCAGCCCCTCACGGACGACCGCCACATAAAAACGTAATAAAGCACAACAAAGTCCAGGCCTGTCCTCTCTCGTCATGGATTGTCATCACGCCGCCTCCTATCCTTCCGGATCTCCTTCCATGAAACTCGCTCCGTTCCCACAGCTCTCGGCCCCTGCACTGTTTGCCACAATGATGTTTGAGGTCTTTTTGATATATGAAACACATTTCTCACTGAAGACACATGAAAGGTCTCTCTCCAGCATGAAGCCTCGTGATTATTAAGGGTCGCTTTATGTCTGAAGCTCTTTCCACTGATCACATGTAAACAGCTTCTCACTAGTGTGACTGTTCATGTGATAGCTAAGGTTGAGTTTTGTCGTGAACTTCTTCCACACAGTTCGCAGGTTTAACGCTTCTCTCTGGTGTGAATTCTCAGGTGCCTGTTAAAGCTTGTTTGTCGTGTGAAACTGTTTCCACACTGAACACATGTGAACGGTTTCTCTCCAGTGTGAACTCTCTTGTGCCTGTTAAAGTTTCCTTGTTGAGTAAAACTCTTTCCACACTGAGGGCAGGTGTAAGGCTTCTCTCCAGTGTGAACTACCATGTGCCTTTTAAGGTTTCCCTGTTTAGGGAAACTATTTCCACACAGTTTGCAGGTGTAAGGCTTCTCTCCAGTGTGAACTGTCATGTGGACATTCAAAGCGCTTTTATGAGAAAAACTCTTTCCACATTGAAGGCAGGTGTAAGGCTTCTCCTCGGTGTGAATCCTCATGTGGACTTTAAGGTTTCCATGTTCATTGAAACTCTTTCCACACTGTTGGCAGCTGTAAGGCTTTTCTCCCGTGTGAATTCTCTTGTGGACTTTCAGTTTTCCTTGATGGTCAAAACTCTTTCCACACTCTTGGCAGGTGAAATTACTTCTAGATCTGGCCTTCTGAACTCTTTTTTGTGAAGAAGTCTTTGCCTTCTGTGAGCAACTAAATAATTTTTGTCCGGGCATGAAATGATGTTTCTTATATTGATCCTTATCTTGCATTTTATTCAGTTCTTCACGCTCTTCTTTCAGGTCTAGGGTGAAAAGAGACAACTACAAGTTAACACCCATTTAAAAGCAACAGTAGAACAGAAATCAATAATGCCTAAATCTGCCATTTATGTCTAAAAAGGAGTATCAAACTCAGCTTGTTGAGGGTCACAGTTCTGCAGAGTTCAGCTCCAACCTATATTGTCCTTTCTTCTTTTTGTGCAATCAAACTTCTCCAGCGTGAAGCCTCGTGCTTATTAAGGGTTACTTTATTTCTGAAGTTTTATTCCACACTAATCAAATGTAAACAGCTTCTCATTAGTGTAACTGTTCATGCGATAAGGTTTAGTTTTGTTGAGAAATTCTTCCACACACTTTGTGGGAATTGAATGCTTCTCTCCAGAGTGAATCCTCATGTGCCTGTTAAAGCTTCCTTGTTGAGTAAAACAGTTTCCACACTAAGGGCATGTGCAAGGCTTCTCACCGGTGTGAATCCTCATGTGTGTTTTAAGGATTCCTTTTTCATTGAAACTATTTCCACACTGTTGGCAGGTGAAAGGCTTCTCTCTGGTGTGAATTGTCATATGCTTGTTTAAGCTTCTTTGCTGAGTGAAACTGATTCCACACTGAAAACATGTGAACGGCTTCTCTCCAGTGTGAATCCTCATGTGCCTTTTAAAGTTTCCTTGTGGAGTAAAACTGTTTCCACACTGAGGGCATGTGAAAGGCTTCTCTCCCGTGTGAATTGTCATGTGGTTTTTAAGGTATCTTTTTTGAATGAAACTCTTTCCACACTGTTGGCAGGTGAAAGGCTTCTCTCCAGTGTGAATTCTTATGTGGTCATTAAGAGTGTTTTTATGTGTAAAATTCTTTCCACATTGAGGGCAGGTGAAAGGCTTCTCTCCAGTGTGAACTATCATGTGCCTTTTAAGGTTTCCCTTTATAGGGAAACTATTTCCACACAGTTTGCAGGAGTAAGGCTTCTCTCCGGTGAGAATTCTCATGTGGACTTGAAGTTTTCCACGTTGATCAAAACTCTTTTCATATTGTTGGCAGGTGAAATGACATCTAGTTTGAGTATTTTGAGCCCTTTTTCGTGTCAAAGTCTTTGCAATCTGTGAGCAACTATATGATTTTTGTCCAGTTACGAAATCATGTTTCTTAAACTGATCTTTGTCTTGTATTTCATTCAGTTCTTCACTCTCTTCTTTCAGATCTTGGGTGTAAAGAGATCAATACAAGTTAACACCCACTTAAAAGCAACAGTAGAAGAGAAATAAACAATGGCCAAATCTGTCATTTATTTCTAAAAAAAAAAAAAAAAAGGAGTGTCAAACTCAGCTCCTTGAGGGTCACAGTCCTGCATAGTTCAGCTCCAACCTGCTGCAAACCTACCTTAAGTTTTTAAGTAATGAAGACCTTGACTGAGGTGTGCTCAATTGGAGTTGAAGATAAACTCTGCAGTGTTGTGGCCCTCCAGGAACTAAATTAGACATCCTTGGTATAAAATATTCAAAGATTATTATCCTCACCCAACAAGCAAACTATATGTTAAGAGTTATGTGAACTACCCCCAAACTAACACCCTCTGGTTACTGTGGTAAGAAGACATGACATTAAGATAAGACTGGTTTACAAAAAAGGAATGTAGAATTTCACTCTATAAGTACATTGAAACAAACGTATATTTTTCTAATTTTGAACGTGTCGCTGAGTCACAAGTGGCCCAGAGAGTTTTGGACATTATTGTTTCAATGTGTGTTAACAGGGAGAGCACAGGATGTGCATTCAGCGCTGACTGTTGAGCAAAGCAGTGATTATAAAACCGTTGAAACTGCATTATTGCAAGCGTATGAATTGGCACCTGAGGCATATCGCCAGAAATGTAGAATTTTTTAAAACCTGAGAAGAGCACTTATCTTGAATTATCCAGAGAAAGAGAGAACATGTTTGATCGTTGGTGTACCTCAATGAAAGTAACTACTAAAGAACACCTCAGGGAGTTGATTCTTTTGGAAGAGTTTAAACATTGCGTACCGAATGCTGTTGAGATGTATTTAAATGAGCATAAGGTGAGTAAATTGTCAGATGCTGCTCTCATGGCTGATGAATTCGTCCTTACTCACCGAGGTTCGACTAGCCATTTAAATGATTCTTATAATGTTAGACCTAAGATGAGTGTTTTAAATAAGAGCAAAGTGACTGTAATACATCAGAATGTTGTTTCTAGTTCTTCTACTGAACATGCTGTCGCTAATGCACACATGAAAGGAGAGATTGTGTGCTTCTATTGTAAAAGGGCAGGACATAAAATTTGTGATTATACGGTTCTGCTAAAACTGTTGGTTTATTCTCTTCATTATGTGAGAACCATAGTCCTGTCCAAGTTGTACAAGAACAAAACAAGTAGAGGGATATCTCTGAGGTGAAGAGTCATAGTGATTATGCACCATTTCATACAGAGGGGACCGTGTCTTTGCCTGGCTCCGAGAAGAATGTTCCTGTTTGTATCCTTCGAGATACTGGGGCCACGCAGTCCTTTTTACTGGAAGGACACCTGCCTTTGTCTGATAGTACTGCTACTGGAACCCGCATACTGGTGAGAGGGTTTGAGATGGGGTTTTGTAGAAGTTCCTTTACACCGTATACATCTCACCTCAAAACTTGTGTCAGGTAATGTTGTTGTTGGAGTTCGTGCAGTGCTACCTGTTCCTGGTGTCACCTTTATACTTGGCAACAATTTAGCAGGAGAAAATGTGTGGGAAAAGCCAGATAGTAGAAACAATAGTAGTTTCTATTGTAAAGAAAATGGATGACTCCTCTAACTGTCCTAACTTATTCCCTGCTTGTGCGATTCACTCGAACCAAGGCTAAGATGATGATATTGGATGAAAAGGAAAGTTCTTAGTGATACTTTTTTTTCTTCTGTGAATTCCTCCCAGCCAGAATTTAGTGTTGTGGTCACTAATATTGAAGCTAATAGTTTTATGTCTATATCTACAGCCTGTTGTTGACGACAAGGTGGAAAAGTCTGGTTCCATATCTGAAAATCCATTTCATTGTGATGGCCATGATGATGTTTGTTCTTTGTCTCCACTTTATAGTGTCACTCAATGAAAATTAGGTAAATCTCAAGAGAAGATGCGGAGATTGTTCGACTGCAAGGTTAAATTCAGATTTTCAAGTAGGTGACAAAGTGTTGGCTTTATTACCCATTTTGACTAGTCCTTTCCAGGCTAGATTTACTGGACCTTATAGGGTTGCAAAATGTTTTCCCAATAACAACTATTTACTAAATACGCCTGATCACCGGAAGAAATTACAGGTTTGTCATATTAATTTATTAAAATTTATGTGACTGTAACCTCTTTGTCTGTTGATATTGTATCAACTACTATATCTGTTGGTCAGGGCACTTCAGAAGTATCTGAAGAAATGGTGAGAATTTAGGTCCAGTAGATACAGGGAAAATTAAGGGATCTTCTCGAGAAGTAGTGGAAGGAAGACTTAACAATTCTGAAATCTTTGCTAATCTTACTCATAATTTGTCATCATCTGATGTCCCTACTCGAACTCATGTCATTGAGCATGACATTAACATTGATACGGATGTTGTTTTACAGGTTGCACTGTTCCAGTGTTGGCTATTCAACATTTTGCGGTTTATTTGAGCTAAATTTGTGGACCCATTATTGTGTACACTGATCACAACTCTTTGACCTTCTTGGACCGAATGCATGGTAAAAACCAAAGAATTATGAGATGGAGTCTTATTTTACAATCTTTCCACCTACAGATCAAACATATATGTGGCAAAGATAATCTGATTGCCAGTGCTCTTTCACATGTGAAAAGGTTTATGTGTAGTGTCTGCGGTGGCTTTCCCTCTCTCTGATGTCCTAAGGCTCAGGAGATCTGAGGGTGAAATAGAAGCGGGATTGCAGAGATGAGTATCACCGGCCTTAATGTATCTTCTTGTGGGATGTTTATGTTTTTTTGTTTGTTTCTTTTAATGTTTACTTCCCTTTTGTCGGTTCTTTAGGGAACCTCTTTTTGGAGTGGGAGGTGTTACGACCCTGAATGTCCTCCTCATGTATTGGTGGTAGATTGTGGGAGTTTTGAGTCACTTCCCCTCCCCCTTTTTAATTAATAATTAGGGGAGTAGAGTATATAAGGACTCTTGAGTGCTCATTTAAAGGGACACTCTCTGTGAACACAGATCTCAAGAGTGGCTCTTGATCAGAATGTGATATCTCACTAGGTACGTTTACATGGACACTACCATCCATGTGCTACCATCGGAATGAATTCATTCTGATTGACGAATCCGAACATAGTGTTTACATGAACATAGTGTTTACATGAACGCTAAATAAAGTGATCGGTTTGATATGCGCGTTTATATGTCACAAGCTTCTGATCGATTTAATCTTTTGACATGCGCACTCTGCATGAATATACAGAGTTCTCTTTCAAACAATCGCTCGGTATCTCACTATGGGAAACGCCCCAGGCGTGATAGACTATGGAAGCACCAATTACACCACGTCTGTCCGAAGGACGGACCAATCACAGCTCATGACGAGCCCACCCCCTCCATATATATATATGGCTGTGATCCCCGAAAATGGCATTCTTGTTCTCTTCCCCATGAAGATTTTCCTTTAGCACCTGTTCTGCGCTGCTTCAGTTCACAAACGTACCGTCAAGGTAGACGTTGCCGAACGCAGTGCAGTTAAATTCGGTTGTGGATTTCTCTACTCGTTACTGAGTTTTTTCTAGCTAATGCGTTAAGGCGAGCTAAGATTATTCTACTCACCATGTCGGGGTCCAAGGTCGCAGTGGAGAAAGGGAAGGATGTCCCTTCGCGCTCATGTCGGGCAGGGATTCGCATCTGATGTGTATCGCGTGCATGGGTGTTAAGCACGCTCAGGCCGCACTGGTGGATGCGGAGAGTTGCACTCACTGTCGTGTAATGCCGGCCAGGATCTATGTAAGAAGGTTTCGGGTGGCTGCATCTTCTAAAGACAATCCGGTTCTATCTTCTGTCCCTCCTTCGACAAAGGGGGTCCAACCCTCTCCCCCACAGAATCTTTCTTCGTGGGGGGATATTATGGATTCAGAGTCTCCTGAGTTTACGCCACTTTTCGACCAGCAGCTGCTTGCAGAAGGCGATGAGGTGGAGGGAGATGAGGAGGAGGATGAGGAGGAGGATGAGGAGATGTTAGCTTGCCTCCTCCGAGAGGAGCCGGATGATGAGGAGGATGACGCTATCCTGTCTGCAGCACAAGCGTCCAGGCCTGTGAGCGTGCAAAGCACCGATGTGGCCTAGTGGAAGTTTGTAAGCGTGCGGCAGCTAAGCTTGGCATCGCTTGGCCCGTAACTTCTGGGGATCCGGGAGTCAAACGTGACATCTATGATGGGAAAAGGCTTCCTTCTCGTCTTCCACAGGCGAAACAACTGCTTCCCGCTTTGCCCGCATGTGTAGCAGAGATTAAGTGATCGTGGGACAAACCCTTTTCTCATCGTGTGCCCGTCAAGGGATACTCGTCGATCGATGTGAGTGAAATGGAAGGGCTTGGGCTCTCTAACCCTCCCACGGTCGAGCAGTCAGTGCAAAGCTGCGGCCGTACCATGGCTCTTGCCGTTGCGGGCGAGAGGTCGCTGTGGCTAAATCTATTGGGTGTCGGGGACAGCGAGAAGTTAGATTTTCTCGACGCTCCTGTGGATTCGAGTGGATTGTTCGGCCCAGCCGTTGCGGCGATGAGACAGAGGTGCGACCTCCAGAAGAAGGAAGGCGAGGCGTTTGACATCTGTCTGCCACATAAAAGAGCACCGCGTCCTCCTGTTCCCCCGCGTCCTGTTCCTCCGACGCAGAAAAGGAGGTTTTTGAATGCGTCCAGGACTGCAAAACAGAGCATGCGGCTCGACCCCCCCGCTGCTTCAAACGCTAAACCATGGGTTAGGCAGTCATTCGCGGCGGCGGCTGCAAGGTCCAAGTCTGCTAACCCTTCTAACAAAAAGAGGAGGGATTCCTAGGACGCAATCTCTGCATGGGAGGGACGAGCAGCACCTAGGGTTCTCTGTGATGTCCTCTTCCGAGCCCCCCATATCTGTTCCCCCACCCGCGAAGAAGCGGAAGATGTGGAGTTTTGGCGGAAAAATGGTTCTAAGTTGTGTTCAGGCCAGTTCAGCTTCCCCTCAACACACAATGAT